TTTTTTTTTTTTCGAAGAGAACTAATTTACTTTCAAAGCTTCTGACTTTTTTTTGCAATAATTTTTTTATAGTACAAAGTATAATCGAGCAACCTTTAACAGTGGTAATCGTTTGTCTGTTTTTTTTCTTCTTTTTGTTTTACGAACAATTCAGTGCAAAAAATTTACTATAACAATTAAATTAGTGGTATATTTTTTTTAAATTGTTGGCTATTGCCATTTGATATATAACGATAAAAATTGAAAATTTTTTTGTACAAAATTTTAGACAGAATGGATATAGTTGGTCGGAACTGTACGGTACCACATACGATAGTGGTGGTAATGATAATCCATTAAGATGGACACAGTATACAATGCGATGCCATTATGTTAAACAGGTTATTTGCTTAGTCTTAGACGCCTTTTAAGATAGTAGTTTTTATATTTGCTAGATCAATTAATCAAATTTTGTCAGGTTCGTGCTCTTATTGTTGCTGTACGCTTATATACAGGTAGAGCTGTTGATGTTATAGCCTATTCATTGGGTGTTCCAATATCACGAAAAGCTATTTTAGGAGGTAATAATGACTCAAATTATAACAACAGTTTTAAAAAATTTGTTTCTTTATTTATTTATTTTATTTACCTCATTTATCTATTTTTTTTTATTCTTTGGATGGACGATCAACCAGAAGGAAATGCTGCTTATGATGTGTTGTTCAACTGACAGCAATAGTGCCATTTTTTAGGACAGTGCGTAGATACGGGTGAAGATCTTGGCAGACCATTAACCAAATTTATTGACACATTTGTAGGTATTGCTGGTCCAAATCACGGAATTGCTTTGCAGGTGAACATATTCTTAGTAAAGCATTTAAAAAAGATTATAAATAGTTTAAAGATTGCTAAAAATAAACTAACTGCTAAGAACCAAAAACCTTGTAAATCACATATATTTTTGATTAAATTTTTTGCTTTAGTTGTTAATCTGAAATTGCCTTGGGTTTTAACGAAGAAAATAGAAATTTGATGACAGTGTTCTTTGATTAACAATAAAGGTTGCCGATGCCTTTCTTTTTTTTTTTGTTTTGCAGTTTCTCGGTTTAAGTTTTCCTGGTTGCGCAGTCGCTCCAATACCCATCTGTAATCCGGAAACTGGACTTTTTTCTGGTATTTGCCCAATAGAAAGTAGATTCTTGAGAGTAAATTTTCTTTTTATTATTTAAATTGTACACATTTCAAAGTAGTTTTTCTATTTTTTTTTTCTGATTAGACTATACAGTTAGTGTCTATATGAAGAGCAATTTAAGTGACTGTTTATTTGCTTGTGATAAGAGTTTGATACTTATTTTGTGTGTGTATTTTTTAGGATATAAATGCAGTAAGTAGATACGAGGGACAAAAAATATATTCAATATTCAGTAAAACTGATCAACTTGTTGGTTATACAGTTTGCAATTGGGTATGGCTTTTTTTTTTTTTTGACAACTAAAACAGCAGCAGAAGCAGTTTTTATTAACGTCAAAACTATTCAGTGTTTACAGTTAAAGCAGTTATAAGTATACTATGGCTTATCATATACTATCTGACTAAATCGTTAACAGGATATAGTTATGCATTTCTTGATTTGTTATCTTAAATCTAAAAAAACAAAGAAAAGCAAAAATTTTCAAAGAATTTCTTTATATATTCCTGTTGTTTTTTTTCTTCCTGAACATGTAATAGAAGGGTGTTGTAGAGGGGATAAAGAAACCCTATATCAAGAGGAAGTATAAAAATAATTTCTGATGTTTAGCAGACAGAAAAAAAAAGGAAGAAAATATATCCAATAAAAATAACTGTGGGAAGAACAATTATTTATCAGTTTAGTTGCCAAATTGACTTTGATTTTGTTGTTATTAGTCAATCTAAAAAAAATAT